TTTCAATCATCATACAGTAACCAGCAACAATCACCCCTTCCTCTTCTCATCGAAGACATGCGATGCAGTACTAAACGTTCTCTTGCTGTCGGTGCTTGTAATGATTTTTGCGTCTTTCTCCGACAGTTTAAATGCTTCCACACTGCTGACATGTGTGCTGCATAATAAACAGTGCGTGCCTCTCACTCTGCGCTGGTTGCTATTTGATCGCGTCATATCATTGTTCGGTACAATTTATTCGGTCTTTTCGCTTATTTTTTGCTTATTTCGGTTGCCGAACATTCAGTGCATCCCTACTTTGAAGTGTTACAAGCTCTTGGTGCATAAAGAAGATCTGTAAAGTTGCAAAGACTAAAGTCTCAAATCTAAAGAGATATTCTTTATAAAAGTTAAGTCAACCACGCCTACCTAAAACGGCTCGTTCTAACGGGATGATGTCTAAGTCACGATGTGGGAAGATTTGCATAAATCCTCCCAAATGTTCACGCAAAGAAAGAAGGCGTAACTTTTATTCTCGCTGTAGTATTGTTGCTGCCGCGATATAGAGGACGATATCCGCTTTGTCATTCTGATCCGTGCTGGTCGCTGAGGGAATATATCAACTTATTAAGCGTAAAAAGACAGTTTAAGTCATTATAATCCGTAATTATGTCCCCACTGGATGCAACAAATGCCTAGTTTATAATGGGTTTTATTGTTTTTGTCTCGTCGCTCCGGCCGGGACACGGCATCACAGTATGGTAGGGGCGTAACATTTCCGTCACACGCTTGAGGTATTCGGCCAATCACAACGCACTGGATAGCTGGCCAATCACAGCACACCTCGCTTTTTCAGACCGATGAGCTTTGTAAAAATCGACACGTTTCAGAAAGGCAGGGCATAGAGGAGAAACAATAATGTACAGTATGTGGAAAATAATGTGTTTTTTGAACCTTAAACCACATAAACACATTTCATTACACTAAATACACAAAATAATGTTCTTTGTAGCAACATCATATGACCCCTTTAATGTTAAATTGTATATTTTGAAGTTGCCATGTGTTGTGGCATGGCTTGTCTTTTCCAGCTGCAATAAAAAAATAATAATTGGCATCAATATGTATTGTCATTCCATGATTAAACTCAAAAGTTTTATAGTTTATTTTACATTTATATAGTGAGCATTTCATTAATAATAGACGCATCTTTAGACTATGAAGATCAATTATTTTAATAATGATTTGCTCTGTTTTTACAGTCTATCATCCACATATTTTAGGAAATATGCAGACTTGCTCAAACAAAACACCTGCTTCTGAGCTGCGGTGTGCTACACATCTAAAGCCCTGGAAGATTATGGGGCATTTTTCAGAGATTCATACCCACAGTCTTAGAAGGATGAAGTAGGTGCGTTGTTATGCACCGGCTTTTCTTGGGTGTTTGCGGCAGTGATGAGCTGCAGTGAGTCTGCCTGCTGTCTAGCCTGTCTCGTCTCCAGCAGGAAGGACAGTCATGATCAAAAGCGAGAAAGGGAGAGCGAGCCGTCTCCCCCCTGAAGGTGTGCCTGGTGTCACAGAGCTGCTGAGCTGACGCTCTGGTCCCTATTGTGTCTTTCATCTGCGAGCACTCTTCATCCCCCCATGGCTGCCAGCGAGACGCAGCAGAATAAAGTGCATGCTTTATTGAATATGAAGCCCTTTTGATGCCACGACCCTTTGGTGACTGATGAGTCTGTGACTGTAGAGGAAATCTGGGTTAGTTATTTTGCCAGCGTCGCCCGTTTTTTATACCGCTTTCTGTCTTAAACGCCTTCCCGGCTTACATTAAGTAGCCTTCAGAAGTTTAAGCTGTCAACATGCCGGATAGGCCATGGGGAGGTACTGTCATTGTTAAAGTCAAGGCCAGACAAATGTATCCATGGTGAAATGAAAGGTTGAACCAGCTTTTCAATTAAATATAGGCTAACCCCACATCAAACAAGCTGTCAACATGTATTAGAGGCTCTTTGTGCAGATAAGAGGGCATGAGACATCACAAGCTGGATGTCGCCAAAACCCCCAGAATAGGCTATATTTGATGCCATTCATTTTGCTCGATTGAGTCCTTCGTACTGTATTTGATGTACTTCCTCCTCAAATCTTTGTTTTTTTTTCTCCACATGACATTGGTGTGGGATGCATTATTACATTGATTAAGGATTAGATGGTATTACTGCAGTCTGTCTCTGTTTGTGTTTTGTATTTCTGGAAAATAATATTTGAGGCATCAGATCGTTTTGCAAATTCACTTCATCAGTCTCGTGGCTTACTTCTGTGCTTGTGTTCTTTTTTGCTCCTCAAGGTCCTTAAAAATGTTTCATACTGAGTGTAAGTTTGAAAATAGGTCATTAGGAAGTGAGCAAGATGAGGGAAAGCTGGGAGCACGGTTAGATCTGCCATTAAATATGCATGAGGGCCATTTATGATGCTGTCAACCTGCTCCATGATCTGAAGTGTGTTGTTCAGACTTCACACACTGTCATTCTGCTTAATTAGAAGCTTTCTGCATTCGGCAAAGGTTACGATGGGTTTGATTTTTTTAAAGCCAATATGCTGCCTGATTGTGAACAGCTAGCTCGTAAGGGTTTTTCTGTAGTATAATATTGTTTAGATTCTATCAATCTAATGGAAATGTTAACTGCAGTTAAATGTAGGTCTGATTCACATTTCTAGGCCCTCACGCATCATATTTTTTGTATGAGACCCAAGCAGGAATGTATTCAACTCACGAGTTCTGAAAATAAAATTTGGGATATGAATAATTGAATACTCTCTTGCTCTGTGTGCGGTTGCTCAGCAGTGCATCAGGAGCAGGGGGGATGAACCGAGAGGAAGCCCCTGGCAAGTCTCCTGAGGAGATGTACATCCAGCAGAAGGTGCGGGTGCTGCTCATGCTCAAGAAAATGGGATCAAATGTAAGTGTCAGACCAGTGAGACTAAGACATCTTCTGATGTGCTTTAAAGATGACATGAAATGGCTTCACTTTTAACTACTAATGTGACACATTTTTGAGTGTTTTGTGAGAAATAATGTGAGGAGGATATGAATTTTTCTGTCAGGATTAAATTAGATGTCATTGGTTAATATTATTTTCCCCCAGCTGCACAACCTTGGTTACATTTTATTGAAAGTTTGACTATAAAAACAATTAGTTTTCTTTAGAGTAACCTGCAAGTGATTTTTTATTTATTTAATAATAATGCACAAAAAGGCCCAGATACTTCAGAAAGCAAATTGCTCACATTTTTTTATTTTCTCTAAAATGTAGAAACCAATCATTGTCTTGAATTTGGTGACTGTTTCATTGTTCTTTGAAACTGATCTAGCATTTGACAGTTTAGTGGCGATTCTTAACTGGACACTGGCATGGATTTTCAATGTAAAGTATTTTTTTTGTCCCCACCCTTACAGCTGACACCAAACGAGGAAGCGTTTCTGCGGAATTATGCAGGCGTGGTGCACAGCCAGATGAGTCAGTTGCCACAGCACCCTATTGACCAGGGTAAGTCAACATTTACAGCCTGAACACCGCAGGCCAAACCTCCACCCTTTACCACGAACACTCTTATTTACAGAGGTACTGTAGTTCTTATCACACTGGACATTGGAATATTAGAAGAATTGTCTTTCTTTATTGTTTAGATTATATCTGGAAATGGTTTCATTAAAATGTCATGCATGATAGAGCAAGTTGACTCTAGATCATGTATAAATTGGATTTGAACAAAGGTGAAATGGGGATTTTGTAAAAAAAACTACCAACTTTTTATACAATTATTAGCACATTCAAACTATGTAAAAATGTGTATATAAACAATATAAAATATTTTATATAAAATATTTTAATCATATTTGGAGAGAAAGAGAGAGAGAGAATATATATATATATATATATATATATATATGTGTGTGTGTGTGTGTGTGTGTGTGTGTGTGTGTGTGTGTGTCTCAAGAACTGTGCACTGCTGTACACCTGTGTTTATGTTTCTTAGCTTTTATTTGTGTGTGTGTGTGTGTCTGTGTACTGGAAAAAAACTAGCATTTTTGTATATTTTGGACATTGTGCTGTAGCTCGCTCCACAAGGGGGCGCTAGCACAACATAAATGTTCAGGTAGGCAGTTTAAATGCTATATATATTGTAGGGTAATTTCCTCTGTTTTCAGCTGAGATGATCAGCTGATCTATAGGTTTAATGTGAAAGAACTTCACTTAGTTGCTTCATATGCCATAGTAAGAATGAAACTGTAATGCTCTGTCTTACTAAGATGCATTAACTGTCATAGAGATCGCATGCTCTGTGATGTGATTTTTTTTTTCGACGGGAAAAAACAAGTCTTAACGTTGTGAATAACTAGGTGTATAGAAGAATGGAGCACACATTTTGTTTTCATTAAATATGCATATGAGCCTGGTTGTTAAGCAAGGATACCAATGCTGTGCTCTTTTTGGAAGGATCTTCATAAATAATGCAGTAGCAGAAGAAAGATGGATGTAGATGTCAATATGTGCTGTGCTTCTGGGAGTGTTCTAGCTCAAATTACTTTTTGTGAAGATCTGTGTGTGTGTTTGCTCCAACATTAGGAAATATTCCATCGTCGGTGAGCCAACATTCTGATGAGTGATTTTTAAGACGTTGTGATGTTTCTAGAATAAGAAATGTAAATGCCAGCTCTTAGATGAAAGTGATCAGTAGACGCTTGTGGTCTCCTGCAGTATAATGAGGGTGAGATGAAAGGGAGAACGCACTTAATGAACAACAGACAATGAAGTAAAATAACCTTTGTTTAAAGCACAGACGAGGAGGGCCGTCAGGAGTATGTTAGGGGAGTATCATCAAGATTAGTCAGTTTCTATTAGGAGAAACTGTGACTTTCATTCTCTGGCGTACAATCTGTGTGAACCCTTAAATAAAGCTTGTGCTAAAAATGCTAGAGGTCTGTTGAGGTGAATTAGAATGTGTTTAGTAGTAGTCGCTTATTTTAGTTCAAATTAAATGGATAATGTAGGATCACGACACAGCTATCTGAGGTTTTAACTAATGTAATATTGGAGCAAATGGATGGCACTTCAGATCTACACATGCTAATGATTTCTCTCTCACATCAGGCAAAATAGTGCCACATCTCTGGGGACTATATCGCAGTTGGATGAATTATTTACGTATCAAGCTGTCTCAGAGGGCTGCCTGTGTTTGCATCCAACACCTTGGAAAATGTGCAGACATGGCTATATTTGTTTCTAATAATGCTTGCAAAAAAGAAACATGCTATATGGCTTTATATTTAAAGTCATATGATGCGATTTCAATTTTTCCTTTCTCTTTGAAGCAGTGGCGGCTCGTCGGGGGAGGCAGGGGAGGCACAGCTTCCCCATAATTTTGAGGTGAAAATGGGAGGAGGACGATTTAATGTTAATAACATTCACAATTCATTTCAGTTCATGTCTCAGAATGTGTATTTTTTGTTTGTAATTTCACAGTTGTAATATCATAACGTGAAAGCGCCATTTTTCTATCGCGAATTTGCAGAATCTGCTGATATAATTACAACCGCTAGGTGATAGAGAAGGGGAGGGGGAGGCCGGGGGAGACGCTGAGCTCTCGTGCCTCCGTTGGTAAAAAAAAATTAGCCAATCACCATCGAGTGTTCACTTTCAGCGCTGAGGAGTGTTGAGAAAAGAAACCTCGTAAGGGAGGCTAGCCTCCCTTCTGATATCATCCAATCATCACAGAGACTTAAATTACGTGGTATTAGTTTGAACGTCTCCCGCTGCGCTGATAATGTACCAAGTACTTATGAGTAGCGATATTGAATATTTGATTGCCAACAGATTTACCAAGCTGTCATTCAAACAGCGTATATACAAATTTAGGGAAAACGGCCTAAGCTGGATATAGGCTACAGCAGTCGGCTTAATTAAATGGCGCAACAGGCAGCTCTCTTTTAACACAGACTTTTAAGAAGGGATGGATGTTTGCTTCAAGTGATAGGCCAGGTAAGTGAAATTATATTATCTTGCTGTATGCATGTCGTTTTCTTTATGTTTTCTGACTAAAAGCAACCAAAAAGCCATTTTAAAGTGGTTAAGCAAATAATATAATAATAATAATCGGCAGGGATCCCAGACCAATACAATTAGTGTGCCTCCTCTATTTTAAAACCCACAAACCGCCACTGCTTTGAAGTGAAGTGATACAAGCTCTTGGTGCATAAAGAAGATCTGTAAAGTTGCAAAGACTAAAGTCTCAAATCCAAAGAGATATTCTTTATAAAAGTTAAGAGTCAACCACGCCTACCTAAAACGGCACGTTCTAACACGCCCCCACATGTCTACGTCACAATGTGGAAATATTAACATAATGCCGCCCAAATGTGCACACAAAGAAAGAAGGCGTGGTTTCAGGAACAGCAGTAG